GCGTCCAGGTGTGCTCATGTGCAGAGCTCAAACATCCCCTTGCCACGGCCTCTGATATGGTAAACCCCTGCCTGAAGACTTACGGGTCCTGTGATCTGAAAGGCGTTCGGCAGCCGAAGTGGAGCAGTTCTTTGCCAACAGCACCACCTACAGCCAGCTACAAAGAGCGGCTTAAAGAGGGCAGGGGGCAGATTGGGAAACACCGGGGTTGATTTTACCCATGAATCTGATCCTTCTCTGTCTGCAGCAATGTTGGGGAGGGAAGGCAAGCAGAGAGCAGCCTGCCCAGCTTTCCATACTGGTGTATTATCCCAGTTTGTAAATAGCTTTCACTTATCTTCCAATATCCTCCCTTGTTCTCCTAATACTTGCTCCTTGCTATCTCTTCCCAATACCACTGCTCATCCTGGCTTATCTCACTGAGGCTGTAAATGCTTTGGGGCACAGTGTGTGTCTCATTCCATGAGAGTTGCCATGTACTGACACAGTATAAGATGATGCTTAAAAGCCTTTTCTTTTTTTTCCTCCCATCTTAAATTTCTTTTGGCAGAATATCGTGGTGCTTGCTTTCCAGATTCAGTCTGCCTTTTTTTCTTGCTGCCTCCAGATCACGTCATTGGCATTGTGACTACAGGACAGGTTTACGCAGGGAGATCTGTCTGCCTGGGTGCCCAGGCCTTTGCTGTACCTGTTGAATCCTGCAGATCCATGCATTCTGAGACAAAATGACTAGATCAAAGTATCGTGTCAGAGGGAGAAGATGGGATGCTTCAAAAGGTCTGCAAGGCTCACTCTTTATTTTACTAAGGGAGCAACATTTGACAGGGGAAGAACAGAGCAAACAACATGCTACTGGAACCGTGAGATAAGTTTGCGAAGGCCAGCACAGAGCTTGAGGGGCTCAACCGCAAACGTGTCTGTGGCAGTTGGGAGTGGAAATTGGACAGCAGGAGACACGCAGCTGCGAGGCGGGGCCCCTCAGCCCTTGCACGCTAGGGATGGAAAGCAAGAGAGTAGAATCCCCCTGTGCAATCACTAGCCTGCCCTCTGTGCCAGCCCACCCCCAGGGACTGTCAGCACTGGCAGTGCTGTCCTTACTGACTTCTTGTTGGTGGTCCGGATGACACAGCAGCGCTGCTCCTCCTCCACAGAGACACTGTAGACCTCCTTGGGGTAGGGCAGGTTACGGATCCGCCACTGGAAGCTGCTCAGGGTATCCTTCCTCATGAAGACAGGCTACAGCAAACAAGTACCTTTAGCAAGGCCCCTCCAGCTGTCTCCTCTCCTCCCTGTCCCCTTCTTCCTGTACTACCTTGAGAGGCACCACGTAAGAGTATCTCTTCCTTCACACTGGAACATTAGGAAGTAACTCAAGAAACTGCCTGAGCATTGCTTTCCTAGAGCTAGCACTGCTCTACCTTTACCCAGGGCACTGCCTGCCCTACTTGTAGGAGGCTGAAAGTGTTCACCAAGGGAGTCTTACAGTACAGGATTACAGGGAAACTGGGCCTCTTCCTCACAGGCAACCGAATACTGAGCTCTGCCTACCCTAGGGACCTGCTGGATTCAGCCCTGGCTCTGCCCCAATTTGCTGTGCAGGGCTGTGCTCTTGTTTCAGGGCCATAGAAAAGATGGTGAGAGACTAAAAACTCTGCCCCCTAAGCTAGTGGGACGTGAAGATGAAACAGGCAGTGCCATGTTAAGGAGCAGCCTGCTATGCACTGCCTGTGTCAGCCTTTCGCTGTCATTGCTTCTACTTTCTATCCACTGACTTGTCCTGGCACTGCCCTTCCTTTCAGCCTACTTTTTTGGAAGCCAGAATAGTAGTTGGCCAACACAGCAGTACAGTTTCTCTACTTAATGAAACTACAAATCTCTTGAAGACCCCAAAAGAACCCAAGCTGTGCCCTCTTTCTACCCAGCCCCGCACCTTTGGGATGATTTGTAGCAGAGTGCTGGGCAGGTTAAGACTGTCTCTTGGGGCTGTGAGTGATCTGCAGTCTACTAACTACTGCTGTAAGCATAAGACTAGGTAGTTTTAGGTGCAGCCATGCCTGCAGACCCTTACATACATTGGAGCTGCTTTCCTTTATGAGCTCTGATTCTAGTGCTCCCAGGAGCGGCGAGGTTGGCTCTCCCACTTCAATCTGCCACTTGCCGGAGCCCCCAAGGGTGTTCTTCTCTCGCCATTTTCTACCTGTGGAAGAGAGAAGAAGGGTTTTCATTATTCTGCTCTGTAAGAAGAACTCTAGCAAATGACTGCCAATGCTGCCCAGCACACTGAGATGAAATGAAGATACACATTTTAATTCCAGTCATTTCCGCTTTGGTGTGAGTGGATCTGTTAGCTGGCCTATTCCTGAAGTCAGAAATTCTGTACCGAGTCTCTTTTTTGCTACTTGGTGCTGAAGCCATGGTGGGGTTGCAACAGGTGCTGTGCCGCAGCTGATGTGGTTTTAGACAAGATCCATAACCGACACCTTGCTTGTTTGCAGTTGCAGAAGCCACCAAAAAGCATATTTCACCCCAGCATGTGCTACAGACTTGGTGCCTGGCTACGCAACATGGCAATCCCATTTAGTCCATCCAAGTCTGTTGTTACCAATGAGCTGTTTGGGAGAGATCCTGGGCTAAAGCAAGGTCTGCTATGCCACGGAAGTCAGAGCACCCTGCGCCCAAACCGAACCATACTCATGTCCCTACAAAATTCAGCTACAGGCATGCTTATCACCCAGAATATTTAGGGCCGATTTGTTCCTTAGCAGGAGGTCCCTCCCAACACCCCAGTCCTGTGAGTGCAGACCCGCTGCCATGCGTGCCACAGTTCTGCCTGACCCACATCTGCTGGGGGCCAGCTGAGAGCACCACTTACTCACTAACTGCCCGGTCTTCATGTCGTACTCTTCGGCCATCTCCTTCCCATCCTCGAACAGGTAGTGGATCTTCCGCTTCCCTAGAGGCAAGGCAGGTGGTGAGAGTAAATAGCAATACACCTATCCCTGCGTGTATGGCCCTGTCCCGCTGTCTGGGGCCGTGTCCCCGTGTTGATGGCCCCGTGTCCTTTGCTGGGGCCCCGTCCCGCTGTCTGGGGCCCCGTCCCCGTGTTGATGGCCCCGTGTCCTTTGCTGGGGCCCCGTCCCACTGTCTGGGGCCGTGTCCCCGGGTTGATGGCCCCGTGTCCTTTGCTGGGGCCCTGTCCCGGGAGCGCTCCGTCCTCCCGCCCTCTCGCTGCAGGGTCACCCCAAAACACGTCGCGGGGGAAGGAGGGGGCTATCCCGTCTCGCCGCCGCGGTTACCGTCCTGCACCAGCGCTG